AAAGCATATGAAAATATGCTCACTTTTTCGCAATGGGTTTGCAGCCAGAACACAGGTGTCATGAAAACCACAGCTAAATCAAAGTCAAAATGGGAAAGTAGAAGACTCACATCAACATCATTGTCATTGGACATGTAGATTCCAGTAAATCCACAACCACTGGCCATCTGACCTACAAATGTTGTGGGATCGACAAAAGAACCATCAGAAAATTTGAGAAGGAGGCTGCTGAGATAGAAAAGAGCTCCTTCAAGTATGCCTGGGTCTTGGATAAACCAAAAGCTGAACATGAGCATGTTATCACCATTGATATCTTCCTGTAGAAATTTGAGACCAACAAGTATTATGTGACTATTATTGATGCTCCAGGACACAAAGACTTTATCAAAAACATCAGGCACATCTTAGGCCAACTATGCCGTCCTGATTGTTGCTGGTAATATTGGTGATTTTGAAGCTAGTATCTCTAAGAACAGGCAGACCTGTAAGCATGCCCTTCTGGCTTACACACTAGGTATGAAACAACTAATTGTTGGTGTTAACAAAATGAATTTTACTGAGCCACACTACAGTCAGAAGAGATACAAGGAAATTGTTAAGGAAGTCAGCACCTATGTTTAAGAAAACTGGCTACAACCTCATCACAGTAGCATTTATGCTAATTTCTAGTTGGAATGGTGACATTTTGGAGTTAAGTGCTAATATGCCATGGTTCAAGGGGTGGAAAGTCACTCATAAAGATGGCAATGTCAGTGGAACTACACAGTTTAAAGCTCTGGATTCCATCCTACCACCAACTCGTCCAACTGAGAAGCTCTTGCATCTGCCCCTCCAGGATATGTAAAAAATTGGTGGTATTGGCACTGTCCCTGTGGACAGAGTGGACACTGGTATGCTCAAATCTGATATGGTGGTCATCTTTGCAAGAGTCAATGTGACAACTGAAGTAAAGTCTGTTGAAATACACCATGAAGCTTTGAGTGAAGCTCTTCCTGGGGACAATGTTGGCTTCAATGTCAAGAACATGTCTGTCAAAGATATTCAGCATGGCATTGTTGCTGGTGATAACAAAAAAGAAGAACTGGCTTCACTGCTCAGGTGATTTTCCTGTACCACCCAGGCCAAATCAGTGTCAGCTATGTCCCTGTACTGGATTATCATCCAGCTCACATTGCTTGCAAGTTTGATGATCTAAAGGAAAAGATTAATCTGTGTACTGGTAAAAAGAAAAAAAAAAAAAAGGCTGGAAGATGGCCTTAAATTCTTGAAATCCAGTGATGCCATTGTTGATATGGTTCCTGGCAAGCCCATATGTGTTGAGAGCTTCTCTGACTATCCTCCTCTGGGTCATTTTGCTCTCCGTGATTAGAGACAGACAGTTGCCTGTGGGTGTCATCAAAGCCATGGACGAGAAAGCTGCTGGAGGTGGAAAGGTCACCAGGTCCGCCCAGAAAGTTCAGAAGGCTAAACGAACATCCCTAATTCCTGACACCCCAGTCTTAATCAGTGGTGGAAGAACAGTCTCGTAACTATTTGTCTCAATTGGCCATTTAAGTTTAATAGTAAAAGACTGGTTAATGATAACAATGTATCGTAAAACATTCAGAAGGAAAGGAAAATGTTTTGTGGATCATTGTGTGTGTGTGTGTGTGTGTGTGTGTGTGTGTGTGTGTGTGGTAGTTTTAAGTTACTAGTTTTTAAAATCAGTACTTCTTAATGGAAACAACTTGACCAAAAATCTGTCACAGAATTTTGAGACCTATTAAAACAATTTTTTTTTTTTTGGAGAGATTTTCACTGTAGGGCGCGTGCACTCGCCAGACAGACAGAGAGAGACATAGAGACAGAAAGCGAGAAATCACCCGGGGATGGTCACGCCGCAATCCCTTCTCCTCCATTCTCCTCTCGGGATCTTGGGCACGCACACACACGCACCCGGCGTGAGTTTTAAGCCACCGGGTCCGGGACGCGAACCGTGGTCGACTACGTGGGAGTCCAGTGACCGCCATTGCGCTAACTGCTGGTCCCCCCCATTAAAACAGATTTTAATGAGAAAAAATGCTCAACATTCCTTATCATAAGGGAGATGCAAATCAAAACCACAATGAAACACCACCAACCCTAGTCAGAATGGCTTAGACTAAAATAATAAAGAATGATAAGTGCTAGTGAGGCTGTAGAGAAAAGGGAATTCTCCTACAATGTTGGTGGGAATGTAAATTAGTACGGTCACTGTGGAGAACAATATGGAGTTTCCTCATAGAACTACAGACAGAATTACCATATGATCCAGCAATTCCACTCCTGGGTATCTACCCAAAGGACAGGAATGTGATCAGTCAGAAAAACACTTGCACAATCATGTTTATTGTGGCATTATTCACAATCGCTAAGACATGGAACCAACCCAAATGTCCACGAACAGATGAATGGATTAAAAAAGTGTGGCATGTATACACTACGGATTACTACCCAGCTATAATAAACAATGAGACCCTGGCATTTGATAGAAAGTGGACAAATGCAGAAAATCTACTGCTAAGAAATACAAGCCAAACTATGAAAGAGAGATGCTGTATGTCCCTACTCAATGTATACCAAATGTCTGCCCTCCATGGCAGAAACTGAATGATTGGGAGGTATAAAAGCATGGAGAGCAACTGCAGACACTGGAGACAGTGTAGAAGAAGGACGGGAAATGCAGGAGGGGTAAAGAAAGAGGCAAAATATTTGGGGGACATGCAAGTGGAAAATTGTTGATGATAATGTGTATGGTAATATCTTTGACTGGACTAATGTGCAGTGTGTTCATGCAATTCATTTTGTATGTTCTAATGATATATAGTTATTGAATGTAAAAACATAGTAATAAAAAAGTCTGGATATCTATTGAATAGTACTGTATAGTAGGACTATACATTCATATATAATGTATTATATACTTGAAATTTTTAAGAAAGTAGATCTTATATGTTTTTCCACCCAAAAAAAAGATAACTTTGTAAGGCAATATATATGTAAATTAGTTTGATTGTGATAATGTTTTCACATATGTCAAAACATAGACTCAGTTGGCTGAAATTGGGGTCATGGCAAGACACCCTATTGAGGGTGCTTGCCTTTTTCTCTCTCTCTATCTGCTCCTCACTTTCATGAAAGGAAAAAATAAACTATTTTAAAAATCAAATCTACACAGTAAATACAATTTTTTCAATTATATCTCAATAATACCTGAAGAAATGAGGGGGGAAAGAATATGATTGTGAAATTGGGATGAGAATATCTCAGTGTCAGCAAGGTGGCATAGTGGTTAAGGCACTGGACTCCCATATGAACAACAGTTCGAGTCCCAGACTCGGTGGCCTGAAAACACTCTGAGTGTGTGTGCGTGCAAGCCCAAAACCCCTAGAGGAGTATGGAGGAATAGGGATTGTGTCATGACCATTCCCCCCACGTGGTGATTTCTCACTTTCTCTGTCTCTCTCTGGTGAGGACACCTACCCTATGGAGTTAAAAAAAAAAGTATTACTCCACCAAATACTTATTAACAACAAAGAGAAAAAATGCATAATTTTACAGTGCAAGAATTTGGGATATATCATTTAATCAAGATATCAAAATTAGCATTATCAGTAATAGGATAAATCAATCCTATATGCCATCCAATAGGAAGTTATAAGAAGAACACAGAATCTCTTCTGTGATCTTCTGGCCCCAAATTAATTATCTGTTCTAATCATAAGAAAACTCTGCATAAACCCAGATTAAGTTATACCCTACAAAATGGCTTATCTGTAATCTTCAAAACTGAACATCAAGGCAAGAATGAGAAAATATTCTAGATTAAAGGAAGTTAGAGACTGTGTGCAAGCCTAGAATGAATCTGTTTTCTATATAGGACATTATTAGAAAACTTGAATGGAGCCTCTGGGCAGTGGGTATACAGAAGTTCTTTGTACTATTCCTGTAACTTTTTTTAATAAATATGGAAGTACTTTTTAAAAAATTTTAAGACTAGAAGTGTGCCTGACACATCATAGGCAATGCATAAATATTTACTGATTTAAGTTCTACATTATAACAGAATTTGGAGGCGGAGAATAAGACTAATCTCACAAGTAAGTATAGCTTACAGAAACCTGGGAAAATTTTCCCTAATAACCAACAAGATCTCTGCTATTAATTTCCTCTGTAGTAGTAAAGACTGAAGTATACATAGGCACTGAAATGGAGGAGAAAGAATGGAAAAGAGATAGAGCAGAAAAGTATAAACTCAGGAATTTTGATGAGAGCCAGTTCAGAAAGCAGGCTTTATCCTATCAAATCTCTCACACCTCCAAATCCCAGAATAGAAAAGTACATGGCAATGACATGAGTACCTGTTGTCTATCTTATCAGAAGGGAAATAAATTCATTTTTCCTTTCTTTTGTTATGTACCACAAAATATGGAGAAAACACTATTAAAATTGTTTGACAAGAGGCCAGAAGGCTGTGTGGTGACTAAGGCACTGGATTATCACATGGTTGACAGTAGTTCAAGTCCCAGACCCAGTAGCTTAAAAATTACGTCAGGGGTGTGTGTGTGTGTGTGTGTGTGTGTGTGTGTGTGTGTGTGCGTGTGTGCGCGCAAGCTCAAAATGCCAGAAGGAGGATGGAGGAGAAGGGATTATGGTATGGCCATCCTCCCTGGGGATAATTTCTCACTTTCCCTCTCTCTGTCTCTCTCTGGTGAGTACACGTGCCCTATAACAAAAACCTTTAAAAATAGTTTGACAATAAAAAGGAAAAGAAATTGTAAGGAATAACCAACATGACTTTTTTGAATGCCCTTTCTGGTAAAAAAATTAAAAAAAAAAAGCGAAATACTAGAATATCAGCTAAGTAAGTGGAAATTATCTCAAAGAGAATCTCTGAAAGACTACATGAAATAATAGTGATTCTTCCTGACACTTGATAAAGTATATATTCAACTCTTCCAGAATAAATACAGAGATTTCACTCACCATTCTGGGAAGCCTCACCAACATATCTTTACAATGAAGAACACATGTAGATGCTCTTTGAAAATTCCTACAATGCAGTACACATGTAGATGCTCTTTGAAAATTCCCTTGAGCAACTGCCTAAGAAAACAGAATGTCAATAATTGGTTAAAGTGAAATGACACAGTATTTGTCTCTAAGTCAATGTTAGCATATTTTAACTAGTGTTAAAACGTCTTACTTTTTTTTTTCACCTTTTTAGCAATGTTAGATGGTCTAGCTGAACCCAAAATATAGAGGCATACATGGTTACTGTCTTTTTTTTTTTTTTTAGAGAGAGGTTTTTCCTATAGGGCATGCGTACTCACTGGAGAGACAGAGAGAGACAGAGAGACAGAAAGCGAAAAATCACTTCCCAAGCAGGATGGCCATGCCACAATCCCTTCTTCTCTGTTCTCCTCTTGGGATTTTAGACACACACACATGTGCGCACCCAGCGTGAGTTTTAAGCCATTGCGTCTGAGACTCAACCACGGTAGACTATATGGGAGTCCAGCAACATAACCATTATGCCATCTGCTGGTCCCAATGGTTACTATCTTTGGTAACTTAGTTGATAATAAATAAGTGAGTGTCATTTAGTTTTTCTGAAAATGCAGAAACCAGTATACTACTTTTTATTACTATATTATGTCATAATTCCATGTCTAATAAATGCTTCTCCAAATTTTATGGTATTAAATACAGACAGTATTGTGCTTTGGATAAGAAAATGATTGAGTAGAGAGGAGAAATGATAAAAGAATGTACGATGCCAACTTCTCTCTAGTTTTCTTCTGCCTGCCTATCTACAGAATATTAAGCTTGACATCTTCACAAGTAAATATCATCCTCTAAGACTTTAATGCTAGATTTTGTTAAAAGAGAAAATAAGAAATGGCCCTGAATGGGGCCAAGCCCAGGAGCCAAGGGATGCTGCTCTAGGCTGCCAGAGTGGTTTGACTGCACCAGTGCCGGGCTGAAGAGCCAAGGTACTGTGAGGTACCAATATTTAAGAGATTATGGCATCTGGGGACCAGCAAATGGCATAATGGTTACATCACTAGAATACCATGTAGTTGAATACAGTTCAAGTCCTGAACCCAGTGATTTAAAGCACACCGGGCATGTGTACATGCATGCCCAAAATCCCAAGAGAAGAATAGAGGACAGGGGATTTCAGTGTGGCTATCCCCCTGGGGGGTGATTTCTTGCTTTCTGTCTGTCTGTCTCTGTGTCTTTGGCAAGCACACATGCCCTACAGCAAAAATCTCTCAAAAAAAATAAATAAATAAAAGAGAGAGATTATGGCATCTGAAACCTGCAATGTTAAAAAAATAGAACTTCCATAGTAACATTGAGGATTATCCCATTGGTCTTCCTAGAAAAAGAATCTCTAATTTCACTAATAAGAACATAAAGGAGGTTAAAAAATCTCCAAAACAGTTGGCTGCCTGCATAAATGGAACAGTCAGACAAGCTGTGAAAAGCCCAGATAAACCACGTAAGGTGATCTATGGCAGAAAAAGTTAATCATCCCTTTCCAAATCCTTGTTACAGGAAAAAAAAAATAGTCCCCTAGAAGTGGGGGCTGTGATATGGCAAATAAAGAAAATGAACTGGCTTGTGAAGGCCACCTGCCTGAAAAATTACACCATGATAGTGGAACATATTTAGTTAACTCCAGCAATTCTGGTTCTTCACAGACAGAAAGCCCATTATTGAAATATAGTGCAGGGGGGGTTTTCTGAGGTTTCTGAGGATCATAAAATAATGGCCCAAGTTTTATTCAGCAGCTTTAACTTTCTGGAAGTGAATTTGTAGCTTATTTGGTGAGGATAGATGGTCTTGGATTTGTAGTAGATTGCCTTTCTCTGCTGACCAGTAGTTCACAGGAAGAAACACAATGTATCTCACTTAACTGCTGTGTAGACTTGCCTCTAGTAAAGTAAGTTCTTAAAAGCAAATTTAAAGGATATGTAATAGTTGGCCTAAACTGTCTTTAAGCAGTCATTAAAAGGTGGTGGTCAGAACTATCATTCAAAACAGAAATTATAAATAATGGAAATATTCAGATTTTAAAACAACAATTACGTGGATTATGGGAAGAGGAAAACTATCTTACATTGGTTCCAGGATATACTGGTAATATATCTAAGGATGTAGATGCATATTTATTACAGTTGTATTGAGAACTTTCATCTATTAAAGAACATTTTGTTGAACTTCATGATTTCCAGAAGACAATTTCGTCTGAGAACTGTGAACTATGGAAGAAATTTTATTTTAAAAACCACATAATGGGGGCCACCAGGTGTCATGGTGGTAAAGGCACTAGAGTCCCACATGGGTGACCATGGTTCAAGTCCTGGACCCAGTAGCTTGAAAATAACACCAAGAATGTGTGCATGTGTGCCCAAAATCCCGAGAAGAGAATGGAGAAGATGGGATTGCAGTGTTCTCTCTGTCTCTCTCCCAAGAGCACACATACCCTATAGCAAAACACACACACACACACACACACACATAATGAAACCCTAACTATCTACTTCACATTGAAGTGGAAAAGTATCTAAAAGGAGCAGCTTCTGGGGCCAGCAGGTGCAGTGATGGTTGATGCACTAGACTCCCACATGGTCAACTGCAGTTTTAGTCCTTGACTCAGTGACTTGAAACATACTGGGTGTGTCTGTGCATATGTGCCCGAAATTCCGAGAGGAGAATAGAAGAGAAAGAATTGTGGTGTGGCCATCCTCCCGGGGGGTGATTTCTCACTCTGTGTGTGTGTGTGTGTGTGTGTGTGTGTGTGTCTGGTGAGTGCATGCGCCCTATAGCAAAAATCTCTCTAAATAAATAAATAAATAAAAGGAGTAGCTTCAACTTAAATGAGGTCAAAGTGCACTATGAAGATTGTTCGCCTTTGCTGCATTTGGGGTTTATATGGTTATTTGGTAACACTATTTAAAAACTATTGGGTCTTGGGCCAGCAGGTGGCATGGTGGTTAAGGTGCTGGAATTCCCACATGTCTGACCATGGTTCGAGTCCCAGACCTGGTGGCTTGCTTTCTCACTCTCCCTCTCTTTCTCTCTCTGTCTTGGGCAAAATTCATGTGAAAAATAATAATGACAATAATAAATAAATAATTCATTAAAAATAAAGAACTACTGGATCTTAATGCAATCCTGCATAAGAATATAATTTATACTATGTGAAAAAATAAGACAGGATTTATTACTAGGAACCACAAAGACCAATCATCATTATCTTTTATTAAGATTGAGTTTTATAAAAACAAAAAAAACGTAAATATGTGCAGCTATTTTCTTATGTTGAAAAACACTTTGAACATTTAAGACATCAGAGCAAATAATCAATATTAAAAATATTTTGTCCACACTGAGATACTGTGAATGCAACTGCCTTAATTATTAATAAGCCAATGTGTCATGATATCAATATCTGTTTAAAAAAATTAAAACCAACCATGCTTCTGGCATGATAAAATCATGGTATTAAGTCAGGGGCTTATATTCATGTAGAATTTTGTTGAAGTGTATTCCATATCATTTTTAAAACTTGTGAATAGTTTTAGATCTTGGATTTGTAGTAGATTGCCTTTCTCTGCTGACCAGTAGTTCACAGGAAGAAACACAATGTATCTCACTTAACTGCTGTGTAGACTTGCCTCTAGTAAAGTAAGTTCTTAAAAGCAAATTTAAAGGATAAGTAATAGTTGAGGATATGTAATAGTTGGCCTAAACTGTCTTTAAGCAGTCATTAAAAGGTGGTGGTCAGAACTATCATTCAAAACAGAAATTATAAATAATGGAAATATTCAGATTTTAAAACAACAATTACGTGGATTATGGGAAGAGGAAAACTATCTTACATTGGTTCCAGGATATAAAGGTAATATATCTAAGGATGTAGATGCATATTTATTACAGTTGTATTGAGAACTTTCATCTATTAAAGAACATTTTGTTGAACTTCATGATTTCCAGAAGACAATTTCGTCTGAGAACTGTGAACTATGGAAGAAATTTTATTTTAAAAACCACATAATGGGGGCCACCAGGTGTCATGGTGGTAAAGGCACTAGAGTCCCACATGGGTGACCATGGTTCAAGTCCTGGACCCAGTAGCTTGAAAATAACACCAAGAGTGTGTGCATGTGTGCCCAAAATCCCGAGAAGAGAATGGAGAAGATGGGATTGCAGTGTTCTCTCTGTCTCTCTCCCAAGAGCACACATACCCTATAGCAAAACACACACACACACACACACACACATAATGAAACCCTAACTATCTACTTCACATTGAAGTGGAAAAGTATCTAAAAGGAGCAGCTTCTGGGGCCAGCAGGTGCAGTGATGGTTGATGCACTAGACTCCCACATGGTCAACTGCAGTTTTAGTCCTTGACTCAGTGACTTGAAACATACTGGGTGTGTCTGTGCATATGTGCCCGAAATTCCGAGAGGAGAATAGAAGAGAAAGAATTGTGGTGTGGCCATCCTCCCGGGGGGTGATTTCTCACTCTGTGTGTGTGTGTGTGTGTGTGTGTGTGTGTGTCTGGTGAGTGCATGCGCCCTATAGCAAAAATCTCTCTAAATAAATAAATAAATAAAAGGAGTAGCTTCAACTTAAATGAGGTCAAAGTGCACTATGAAGATTGTTCGCCTTTGCTGCATTTGGGGTTTATATGGTTATTTGGTAACACTATTTAAAAACTATTGGGTCTTGGGCCAGCAGGTGGCATGGTGGTTAAGGTGCTGGAATTCCCACATGTCTGACCATGGTTCGAGTCCCAGACCTGGTGGCTTGCTTTCTCACTCTCCCTCTCTTTCTCTCTCTGTCTTGGGCAAAATTCATGTGAAAAATAATAATGACAATAATAAATAAATAATTCATTAAAAATAAAGAACTACTGGATCTTAATGCAATCCTGCATAAGAATATAATTTATACTATGTGAAAAAATAAGACAGGATTTATTACTAGGAACCACAAAGACCAATCATCATTATCTTTTATTAAGATTGAGTTTTATAAAAACAAAAAAAACGTAAATATGTGCAGCTATTTTCTTATGTTGAAAA